TATCCAACCGAAATATTATTGAAATGGATAGGAAAATTTCATTAGTAATTTTTGGAATTACTGCTTGTGGATGAACGCAGAATGCTTTGGTAATTATCATGCTTGGGATATTTGGGGGAATATGAAGTCGGGGGAAGCAGACGGTTAGGGAAAAGCTGAAATTTCAGGGAGAATTTTATAGGAATTTTCAGGTGATTGGCATTAATTTTAGTTGAAGAGGGAAACAAATTATGAAATTTTAGATTATTATTTTATTTTAATGGAAGATTTCATTGCATATGAAATGAATAAATTATTCACTTCATGCACTGTTAAAAATTTTTGCCGGAAATTGCCGGTACACTTTTTCGAAATTTTTATTGAATTTAATTTTCACTGAAATTTTAGGGAATTTCGTCATTGAAAATTCAGAATTTCGTGGAAAAATGAAAGAGAACTGTAAATTTCAGTGGCATTTTTTTCTGAAAATAAATAAAAAACCAGAAAATTTCGGTAAATATATTCTTGAATTTTCAGGACAGTGACACTGAATGCGATTTAAGGGGGAAAAAGTCATGAAATTTCAGATTTTACTGAAAATTCAATTTAATTTGGCACTAAATATTCATATTAGGTTGAAAAATCAAATAAATTGAAGAATTCTCGTCTGAAAATTTTGCTGAATTATAAAACCTGAAATTTCATGATTTTTTGCCACTAAATCGCATTCAGTGTCACTGTTCTGAAAATCAGTAGTCAACTGTCAATAAAATTTCATTTTTTTTCTGACAGTGTATAATTAAAACCTTTTTATCGAAATAAATATATGAGCAGTAATTTTCAGACGATTGACATTGAATTTGATTTAAGCGGAAAACAAATTATGAAATTTTAGATTGGTATTTTATTCTAATCGATGATTTCATTGCAGATGAACTGAATAAATTATTCACTTCATATGATTCAAATACTTTTATCGAAATAAATATATGAGTTTGTGAATATCCAGCTGAAATATTATTGAAATGAATGGGAAAATTGCATTATTAATTTCACTAGTAATTTTTGGAACTATTAATGAATTTTAAAAAATTTATCATCTCCTGAAATTTTAGTGTCACCTAAAATTTCATAATTTCCTTCCCCTCCATAAAAATCAATTTCACTCTCCGAAAAATCACGAGTCAACCATCATAAAATTTCACTTTATCTCTCAGAATTTCGTTTGAATTTCCCCCCCTCCCCCCTCAAAGGATTTCCCGTGCTTTTTACCCACCGTCGGTAGTGGAAGCTCACATTCCCCAAAGCTACACTACTCCACTAACCCAGAGACGCGGGAATTTCCGTTTCTCTCATCCAACCACCAAAATGAGATATCCGCTCTGTACAGTTCCCCCTAAACCCCTCCCCGTCCCGCTCCTTGTCTCGTTCTCCTCTCCATCCACAGCAGAAGTTAAAATATCCTTTGTTACTCAAATGGCTTAGACGATAGGGGGGGGGGGGGGGAGAGGCGAGGGGGCAAATGCAATGGACTTCATATACGCGGTATATGATTTATAAACGGGAGCATGAGACACGTTTTATTGGATAAGTGGCTTATTTTCAAAATGGCACCGCTTCACCTTAGACTTTATCGGTCTAGTTGTTCTTATCTATCCCGCACGCCTCGCGATCTCGTTCTGCTGATTCTGAGTGTAGTAGTGTGGAGGGGAGGGGGTAATTTCACTCAGTTATATACTGGGGAGATCAGGTAGAAATTGCAATACCACTTTTCTCTCATGATTTATGGTAATGAATGGAGAATGAGGATGAGCTTTTCCGGCGAAAGTTTATATCGTTGAGTGTCGCGGTGACATCACGTTTATCATTGGATAAATTGTTCCGTAATGGTGAAAGTTGGCGGTTTTTTTGTTGTGTTTTGGTACTTGTGGGGAGGCTGGAGGTGATGATGCTGGGAATTTTAATTGGCCTCGGATTTTTTGGGTGTCGGAAATTTTTATGGCATGGAGAAAGTCGATGAGTGGGTTTTTTGTTTTTTCTTTTGGTTTATTGGGGAAATTATTGCGAATTTTGTTGAGGGGCGCACGGAGAGAAGAGCTGGATAAGAATTACCTTGGAAATCGTGACAAATTTTACTATACGAATGGTAATTGTGGGGCGGAATGTAATCCAGTGAAAAAATACTGGTTTTTAGTGGATATCTTACGATTTTCTTCACGGAGAGAAATGTTCAGAAAAAATTACGGAACTCACAATTCACTCACCGATTACGGAATCGACTCAGAAAATTTAAGTGACGGTATCGTAATTTTTCACAAGAGATTCAGATAAAAATTACGGAACGCTCCGGAAAAATTCCGTGACAGTTCTGTAAAATTTTCTACAACCACATTTCACTCCGGAATGACGGAAAAGATACGTAATTTCTATTGAATATTTCTCTCCGTGTTGGTAAAAAAATACATCTATGGACGAGGGGCTACTCACTCCATAATTGAGTGACACCATGATTTCGAGTGATATCAGTGATTTTAGAAAAAATGATTTCGGTGATTTCCAATCATTTCATTAATTCGAAATCAGTGATTTCAGAAAAAATGAAGTCATTGAAATCACGATGAATTAAGTTAATTAATAATAGAGGTGGGGCAAAACAAGTCGTGTCAAATTATGAAAATCAAAACTGGCAAATAATAACGAATTCGTTTGATTCCAGTCCGCCAATTTTGAACTACACTAATAGACTGAGTCATTTATTCCAAACGAGATTCGTTAACTATTAACGAATGGTAGAGTTGAATGGGACCAAATGAATATTCGTTAATAGTTAACGTATGGTTTACTTATAAAGTGAAAATCGAATTAAACAAAGCTCCTCAAATGCGCATTTGTTAACTATTAACGAATGAACATTTGGTGAGACCAAATAGATCCTCGTATCCAACCAAATCCATTCATTAACAATAACTAATCATTTCTATCAGTGTAATGACGATGAAAAGCGGTCCATTTTACCCCAGTCCCCACTAGCGCAAAATTATTTACCAGGAAATTTCACGATTCTAGAAATTGACAAGAGAATTTTTTCTCGTATGAACACAGCAAAAACGAATGTCTGAATTTCACACATCTTTTGTAGACATTTTTCAGACACTAAAAGATGTCAGAATAAAATGAAAATTTGTCTGAATTTCAAATATGAATTAAAATGTTTAGACATGTATTCGTCTGAAATTTAGACAAATTTTCATTTTATTCAGACGTTTTTTAGTGTCTGAAAAATGTCAACAAAAGATGTGTGACATTCAGACATTCGTTTTTGCTGTGAAGGAAATCATCTTTGTGGAAACTAATTTTTTCCCTCAGTGTGGCATTGAGAAGAATATGTCAAATCACAATTGGATTATATACATCCGGACATCTAAAAACGAATGTACGAAAAAATAGCCGATGGGTAGTACCACGCGTTGGGTGTGAGAACCGAAAAAATGACCGGTCATTTTTGGTCATTTTTTCCGCCTACCTCTAAAAATAGCATATTCGAATTCCCGAGGCTAAAATTAGTCATTCTGATTATTCCTGACACAAAAAATTGAAAATTGCAGATTTGACGACTGCAATGCTTCCATTCGGAAGCAAAAACTTTCAACAAGTCGATAAGATTATCCAAAACACCCGACTAATTGAGGAATAAGCAACAGCAGCCGAATCCCCTCGTCCCACAATATATTCACAAACAGAATCGAAAATCAACAATTTACATTTTCTCTTTGTGAATAAATTCTCTCACCAACTTGCACCAACACTTCGCATTACCCTCGACTTATTTATGCAACGATAAGCTGAATTCTGGAGTTTCAAAGCTCAGAATCAACAACCGAGTCTTAATTGCCTGCAAATGAAAACATTTGATAAAATTCAAGTTTGTAAAATGAAGTGGTTAACTGTGTTACCCCCCCCCCCCCCC